GTTAATGTGTCTAACCATGGAGGGAGTCCTTAACGGGGAACGCGAGCCACTTCGCGTGGGCGACCCCTCGAGTGCGAGTGCGAGAGAGACAGAGCGATGCGCGCGCGCGGCGGAGCGAGAGAGACGAGACGAGGGTCGAACGCGAGATCAGAAATGTCACGTTTGCGGATTCTCCTGGAAATTCCCTCGAAACCCGTTCAAAGGGGAACGAAGGTTGGGTTTTCAGTTATTGGAGCTTCCATTGTTGGAAAAACGTATTTTTACGTTAATATATTCCGTACCACGTGGCATGGAATTGAATTATTATCTAAATAATCAAATTACGACGGTGTACTCGTCGTTTGTTGCGCCAGTGAACGCGTTAATGTCAATTCTTTTTTAAACGGGGCATCCCATGAAAAAGTGTTTCTTACGAAACTTACGGCAAATGACGTGCGGAATAACTTTCGTATGAAACATTTCTTCGTATTCTTTGTCTTTAAAGGAAAGGAATGAGTTTGAAATGTGCGACATGATGGTAGCGCCGAATTCTCGAAATTCCCAATTTTCGGCGTTAATGATGCGTCGGAATAAAAAATGATCCCTACAAAAGTTGCAGTAAACAATACACGGAATAACTTTTGTCTGATGTATTTCTTCATATTTCTCGCTGTTAAAGTGGTAAACCGTTATCCAACTTCAGAGACTGGGCGACACGTCGAGTGCGAGTGCGAGAGAGACCGAGCGAGGCGCGCCGCCGAAGGAGCGAGAGAGAGGAGACATCGTCTTGCGACGATTGCGGCGATGATGTCGAAATTTTTATGGTATCATAACTATACGAGGGATCGTTACTACGCAATATTGTTTAATAATCACAACGATATTTTCCGTATTTAGCCCTCATATTTCGTAATTCCATAATTAGACATTGTTTTACAATAAACTTCTCAGGTAAATAGAGTTTCATAATTCTAGCATTTTGCAATGGCTGATATTATAAAGTTAAACAAAACTCACGATTAACTTCCGTGATAACAAGAATACTAAGCGTGTCCTTGTCGAATGTATAAAATTGATAAGAGACTTCTTTCAATTTTCAAACTTTACTCAAATCTGCCTAAACTTTTAATTTCAGACGAAAAAAAAAACTATCGTCCAATTGTTCCAATATAATTCTCGCTCTTATAAAAAAAAAACTATTATCGAAAAAAGTCCAATTTTCGAAAATTTCTCTCCCNCGTATATATGTATATTATATGTATACCCATGTATATATAGAAAATTCAGCACATATTGCAGATTCAATCGAGAAGCTCCTCCGCAAACATCCGACCCGTTTTATCCCCTTTATCCGACATTCATCGACATTTGTCGAACAATATTTATTAACATGATCTCTGAAATGTTCCATATAATTTATTGTATGGAATATGTTTGTCATTCATCGACATTTGTCGTACAATATTTATTAACATGATCTCAGAAATATTTCATATAATTTATTGTATGAAGTATTTTTGCCATTCATCGACATTTGTCGAACAATATTTATTAATATGATCTCCAAAATGTTCCATATAATTTATTGTATGGAATATTTTTGTCATACATCGCCATTTGTCGTACAATATTTATCGACATGATCTCCGAAATGTTCCATGTAATTTATTGTATGGAATATGTTTGTCATTCATCGACGTTTGTCGTACAATATTTATTAACATGATCTCCGAAATGTTCCATATAATTTATTGTATGGAATATGTTTGTCATTAATCGACATTTGCCGTACAATATTTATCGACATAATGTTCCATATAATTTATTGTATGGATTTTTTTGTCATTCATCGACGTTTGTCGTACAATATTTATCGACATAATGTTCCGTATAATTTATTGTATGGAATATGTTTGTCATTAATCGAAATTTGTCGTACAATGTTTATCGACATGATCTCCGAAATGTTCCATGTAATTTATTGTATGAAGTATTTTTGTCATTAATCGACATTTGTCGAACAATATTTATTAACATGAACTCCGAAATGAATAATATGGAATAAAATGTATTATATGGAATATTTTTGTCATTCATTGATATTTGTCGAACAATATTTATCGACATGATCTCCGAAATGTTCCATATAATTTATTGTATGGAATATGTTTGTCATTAATCGACATTTGTTGAACAATATTTATTAACATAATCTCCAAAATGTTCCATGTAATTTATTCTATGGAATATTTTTGCCATTCATCAACATTTAATCAAATATAATATAATAAATCGCGAAAAGGATCAATTTGTTAATAAATGCGATAAATATCGCAGAAAAATATATGACAGCGTATAGAGTAAAAAATGCGAAATAAAATATAAAAATTAATGCACCTCCTTCAAAATAATGAATTTAAATCGCGAAAAGGATAAATTAGTTAATAAATGCGATAAATATCGCAGAAAAATATATGAGAGCGTATAGAGTGAAAACAACGACATAACATATAAAAATGAATGCACCTCCTTCAGAATAATGAATTTAAATCGCGAAAAGGATAAATTAGTTAATAAATGCGATAAATATCGCAGAAAAATATATGAGAGCGTATAGAGTAAAAACAACGACATAAAATATAAAAATGAATACACCTCCTTCAGAATAATGAATTTAAATCGCTAAAAGGATAAATTAGTTAATAAATGAGATAAATATCGCAGAAAAATATATAAGAGCGTATAAAAACTAAAAACAATGAAATAAAATATAAAAATTAATGCATCTCCTTCAGAATAATGAATTTAAATCGCGAAAGGAATAAATTTGTTAACAAATGCGATAAGTATCACAGAAAAATATATGAGAGCGTATAAAGAGTAAAAACAACGAAATAAGACTTAGAGACTGGTGCACCTCCTTTAGAATAATCAATTAGAATTACGGAAAGAATCGATTTGTTCAGTCGGCCAGTAAGATGAAAGGGACCCCGAGGATCAAAGGGAGATTCCCTCATGAATTATACCAAATCGATACACATTTGATTTAAGGGGGCGATTTTCTTACTGCGGGCCTCCCTCCTGAATTATGGAAATCAATAACTACTCGACATCACTGTCTTTATTACCAACGGAAACGTGTCTAGCCTGCCGTGTTCTGCTGAAGAACCGTGACTGCACTTCGCGTTCTCCAACGAATATGCAAATTTCTGGGTAAATGGCGCATCGCATAAGAAAAAGTTTTTTACAAAAATTGCAGAACATATTACGCGGAATAACTTTTGTATAAAACTTTTCTTTATATTCTTTGTCGTTAAGGTAGGAAGAGACTTAGGAATCGGGTCTCTCGTACTGTGCTGAAGAACCGTGACTGCACTGCGTGCCCTCCAACGAATGTGCTAGTTTTTGTGTAAACGGTCCATCGTATAAAAAAATGTTTCTAACAAAACTTGCAACAAGTATCACGCGGAATAACTTTCGTCTGAAACATTTCTTCATGTTCTTTGTCGTTAAGGAAAGAAGTGACTTAGAAATACGCGATACAAAGCCAGCGGCGAGTTTTCAAAATTCCGATTTTCCGCTTTAACCGTCCGTCGCATTAAAAAATATTTCCCACAAAAGTTGCTGCAGGTAACACGCGAAATAACTTTTATCCGAAGCATTTCTTAATATTCTTCGCCGCTAACGCGGAAAACCGTAATCCAACATCAGAAACTTCGCGACCTGCGACCCGAAGATAGCGCGTAATCCCCAAAATTCGGATTTTCCGTCTAAACGACACGTCGCATAAAAAACCACTTTCCACAAAAGTTGTGCGTCATAATACGAGGAACAACTTTGGTCTAAATCATTTTCGCATAGCGACTGTAATTAGGGCAAAAAACCTCCTCCTTCGACCGGCGTTAAACGTTCCCTCCCGATACCAAACCTCACGGTTCTCTTAATCCTTGCAAAAGTATTATCCCCAAAAATTAATCTTTTAATTCATATTAATGAGAAGTCAACTATTACGCATTAAACGGTAGGCTTACAGTGACATGAAGCTGCCAGGTTCTCACGGTAATTCAATTAGCCACGCGATTAACCAGTACAGGTTTCCAGTAAAACGAAAAAAGGCGTACATACAAGTAGCGACTTTACGCATGAATTATCTCGAATCGATAAATACCTTCAAGCACGGTTACCTTATTAATCTCCGTTACACCACCTCTCATTAACGTAAATTGCAGTTCATTTTTCACCTCGAAGCTGAGATGAAGAGTCCCTTGATAAACTTTCCAAGTAATAAATACTTAAGGTGATATGAAAGGGTCATTCTATATATATATAAAAGTTAAGGTGATATGAAAGAGTCACTCTATATATATAAAACGTTAAGGTGATATAAAAGGGTCGTTCTATATATATAAAACGTTAAGGTGATATGAAAGGGTCATTCTATATATATATAAAAGTTAAGGTGATATGAAAGAGTCACTCTATATATATAAANGTGATATGAAAGGGTCATTCTATACATATAAAACGTTAAAATATTTATAAAACTTTTCCTTAAACTAGGTGTACCAAATCATTTGAAAATTCAGCACATAATTATGAAGGCCCTAAGGAAGAACGCCATGCTCATGAAATTTCATTTTTAATACAAAATTTGTTTACTTATCCTAGACTCAAGCTAAGATCACATTTTATTGTGAAAAATGAAATTTCATGAGCATTGCGTTCTTCCTTAGGACCTCCATAACCACATATTAATGTTTTAGATAATTTGGTGGACCCAATTTGGAGACAAATTTTATAAATATTTTGATTTTTTAGTATATATATACCACACTTTTGTATCACCTTAAGTTGGTTAAAAATGACGTTTTACTAAACGCCGGATTGTCATGTCTTGCGTAGATCTCGTCTTATTCTCTCAATATGCCCATTAATAAGAAAATAAAACGCACCCGCGCCTTATGGGCATTTTTTGTGTGAGGAAAAAAAAAAACAACGAAGGGAGTGTATTTTCGACTCACCCGAGGGACCTGCACATGATGCGCAGTCGTCCTGCGGCCAGGTGCGCAGGTTAAACCGGTGGGCGGCGCGATCGGTCTCTCTGCTTCTCTTTCCCACCGCAGGGCTGCGTGGTACTTCCGTCTCTCTCGGCGAGCAATGCGGGCACGGTGCGCGATAAGGGTCGGCCGCAGTTCGAAGTTACCTCGGCCGCACTGAACTCGCGCGCCTCAGCGACTGAGGGAGCACCGAGGGAGGCCTCGACCCGAGCGCGGTCGGCCGGCGCCGGAGACGGCCGAAGTCGGCCGAGCGCAGCCGAACGGGCGCGCGCGGTTTGAACGTTGAGAAAGGGAGGCCCACAGACAGGTTAGGTATGGTGTATTAGGTAAAATTACCTAAAATGCTTTGAACTTTGCAATTAAGGTGCGTAAAGCGAAACGATAATCGATGATATACAAAATGTGATGTTTTTAAGGCGATAAAGACTAGCAGAGGATAATTTTTAATTGCAAAATTAAGGGTCGCTGATGTAATGACGCCAGCGCTCTTTGCGGAAAATGAAGGAACTTTATCCTACGTAATCGAAACATTGTCTACCGACGTAAATGTCCTAAAATGCTTTTAATTTTGCAATTAACGTATACAAAGCGAAACGATAATCGATGATATATAGAATGTGATGTTTTTAAGGCGATAAACACTAGCAAACCATAATTTTTAATTGCAAAATTAAAGGTTACTGATGTAATGACCTGAGCGCTCCTAGCGGAAAATTAGGGAACTTTATCCTACGTGACTGAAACATTTCCTACCGACGTAAATGACCTAAAATGGATTTAATTCTGCAATTAAGGTACGTAAAGCGAAACGATAATTGATAATATACAGAATGTGATGTTTTTAAGGTGATAAACACTAACAGACGATAATTATTAATTGCAAAATTGAATCGAGGCGCTCCCGGCACTAGATCGAAAAAAAAATCGTCGTATTTTTATTTAATTCAACATTTGGCATGATATATCCTGATTTAACAGAAAGCAAACTTTAAAACAAGGAAAGATAGATAATGTTAACACATTGTAAAACCTGCAAATTAAGAACTTTAAAAAAAAAAAAGCGAGTTATTTAACTCAGCACAGAAATTGTTACTAACGATCGCTGATTTCTTCTATATTCATAAAATAATCTCACTAAATAAATGATATAGTAAATTGGATGTATACCCATATTTAGCAACAAACTTTTGTAGGAATAAAATTCTAAATTATTTAATGGAATAATGTCCAAGGTGTAAGGAACATTTCTCATTTATTGGCAAATACGAATTATGCCATATGTAGTGCACTACGATAAGAAAAAATACGAGTGAACGTCGAATACATATATATATATACATATAAATACAGTAACAGAGACGTACATGTACGGCTTATCCTCTTCTTTTTTTTTTTCATTTTTGTATTTAAATTAAAAAGAAAACGCGAACGAGCGTTCCCTCTCCTCTTTACGCAATTGTTTAAAAAACGGCTAGTGTCTCGTCCCACTGTAAAATACATTGGCTAAACTCGTACCAACTGCATAAATAAATTCCCACCCCCTCGCGTCGGTTTTCAGTGTGTAGAAACCTACACAAATTCGCAATATTGCGAAATCTCATTGGTCAACATTTTAAAGTCATATGCGAAACTGTTAAGGTGATATGAAAGGCGCCGAGGAATTTAATCGACGTAGACAAAATAATATTCATCTATACCCTTTTTGGTGGGAACGCCATTTTGGATACTCAAGTGGTAACTTAAGATGGCGCGTCCCGTTACCGACATTTATCTTTATGTTTAAGTCTTTTACAGTCTACGTTGAGAATTATACGAACTGAAGCGTTCCTTATGTCATTTCGGTAAAGTAATGATGAAGAGATCGACATAAAACTGTCGAAATCCCGGGATTTCATTATTCTAACGACTGTTTAGGACCAGCGTCGCCATCTGTGACGTTTAGCTGCAACTAAATTTTTCCTCTAGAAACAAGCGCGACAAAGTGAGGATGGAAACTATAAGGAAGATCCTGACACCCATGAAATTTCAAGGTCTTAAAAATTTGTTTATAGACATTTTCAACATTTTTTATAAAAAGTGAGATGAAATCATGAGTGCCAGGACCGACATTTATATTTATGTTTAAGTCTTTTACAGTCTACGTTGAGAATTATACGAACTGAAGCGTTCCATATGTCATTTTGGTAAAGTAATGATGAAAAGATCGACATAAAACTGTCGAAATCCCCGGAATTCATTATTCTAACGACTGTTTAGGACAAGCGTCGCCATCTGTGACGTTTCGCTGTAACTAAATTTTTCCTCTAAAAACCCGCGTTATCCCCTAGACGAGTCAACATTCTCTTGCAATCCTTGGCGAAAGTATTTTCCATATTTTTCATTGCATATTTTAAAGAGAAAATTTAGTTGCCATTGGAATCACAGATGGCGCAGGGTGTCCATCTGCAGTCAATTAGTGCTTCAGGAACCATGAATCCAGGGGATTTCTGGAGTTTTACTTCGATTTCTTTATAATTATTGTACGGAAACTCATATGGAGTATGCCATTTAGTACAATACCCGATATAATTCGACACAGCTGCCGATATAAATACCAACGTCGGCAACGTAGGTATTAAAAGGATCTTTTTTTACCGACGTCGATGAAATTTCTCGACGTCTTTCACTTCACCTTAACTTCGCATGCGAAAGTTGATCGAATGAAATTAATAATCAGGTCCCTGGGGCTAAATTCTCGAGTTCACGCGAATTTCATTCCCATGAAAAATTCAACATTAAATTTCATTAGTCAAGATTTCAAAGTCGCACTCGAAATTGTAAACTCTTCATGCGAAAGTTGATCGAGTGAACTCGAGGGTCGGGTCCCAGGGTTGACGGAAATTTCGCGTTTTTTAACGTTTCCTTCGTTTCTCGGTGACTAGCTCCCGTCAGACAAAGACTTTCGGGGCCTTCCCTAGGTTTTCTTCCAGGAGTAGTACATCTCCAGAGGTCGGTTTACACGCCAGAATTTGTCGTTCACTTGTCGAAGGGTCTGCGAGCCACTTAGTACCACCAACTGGCCTGGAGATGGTGCGATGTAGATACAAAAGTTCAGCAGCCTGTCCGACTCCGAAAGCTCTGTGTCCAGGTCTAACGTCAGTCGCATCGCTAGGTATTTGCTGAGGTGATCGACTGTGGACAGGAATAAATATTTACATTAATTTACAATATGAATATGGTAACCACATTGTAAGATTCAGGGTTTCGTAGAACGCTCAGTGGTTTAAGGTTAAGTGAAATCCCCTTCAAATCAGTCGATTCGAATACAACACTTTTTTTTAAGGATATTAGACCAAACTGTCCGAAACTTTGACACATAAGAATTGTTTGACGGACGCTAGCCTCGACAAATAAAGTTCTTCGGTTAAGAATTAATATAAAATGTTTTGAAGCGTACTTAGATAATTAAGAAATTGTAAATAAAATCAAAAACGTCTTCCTCCGTCTCGTCATAAGATGTTAATACATCTTCAATCTAATCTATGTTTTCCTCACGTTTGTGCAGTTTTTAAGTTATGTTAAAATGTTTTTAGGTTAGGTTAAAATCAAAACCGTCTTCCTCACTCTCGTCATAAGATGTTAATACATCTTCAATCTAATCTATGGTTTCCTCACGTTTGTGCAGTTTTTAGGTTAAAGTTTGATTAACCGAAGCTAAACGATCTAATTTGGCCGGTTAATTTAAACGGCGGTTGATGGAAATTAACCCGCCGTTAATACGTACGGAACGTGCAACTCGTAACCAAGGATTAGCTTTATGAATGTATAAAACACATAAAAATCTAACATTTAATGTTAGATTTTCTAGCAAGAGTCGCTAGTGTTACTGTCAGATTACTTAGCAAGGACATTTGAGGTTAGAATTTTCCAGAAAGACTCATAGAGTGGGAAATTCATGCTACGTCGTAGCCCTAGTGTCTCTGTTTCTGGCTCGGTTACCTGTCGCATTGGCAGTAGTCTTGATATATCGAATGCTATTCTCCTTCAGTGCTTTTATCAGCGAGTTATCGCCAGCCATCTCCGTGGGATGTGGTTTGAAGACTAACTCTATCTCGTTCAACATCAATGGCTCGCTGGGTCCTTCGCCTTCGGTGTCCACCATTGAATCGCCTCCTCCAGTCTCCGCTTCTGCACTCGACGAGTCATTCTCCGAGTTCTGCAGACTCTTCTGTCGTTTCGGAGGTTTCGGAATCTGATTAGCAGGATTCGGCGAAGGAGTTGTCGAGTTGCGAGACGTGGTAGCTAAAGAATTAACGACTGACTTAATCACTTGTTACACAATATTAATTATTTAGAGCATAATTTATGTAAAAATTTACAACCCGAGAATTTTGGGAGCTTAAAAATGTTGATAAAGTCAGAAACTGCGAGACGAGAGCAATGTTCACCAATTTTAACAGAATTGTTCATCGATCGATATCATTCTTAATAATAATTGTAATTTTTGTGTATAATAAGTGTAATTTTTTCCACCATTCGAGAATATACGAGCTACGATCTGAAAATTCCCATTTTGTATTTTGCTCATCGTCTGTGCAGCATTGTAATACAAGTTGATAAAACCGTTTAACATTTAAAAGTATTCTAAGTAATTGACAAAAAATACTTACCAGAGACAGCAGGACTGCTGGCGGGCTGTGAGCTATTGGCGGAAGTCTGAGAATTTGCAGAGTTATTCGCACTGGCAGCTCCGCTGTTGTTAAGTGGTCCCGTAGCACTCTGCGAGGAGTCGCTCTGGTTGGCAGAATTCGCCGGAGGGTTCGGCGTAGTCGGAGCACTGGGATTTGGTGTGTTGTTATAAGACGTAGCATTGCTGGCATTCTCCGACTCGTTTGCATTTTTCCTGGACCGCTGTGGCCGGTTCTGGCTCTGCAGTTTAATGCCCTCGGTAATAGAATTCACTAAAGCGGCTTGAGAGTGAGATTTATTAAGCTTTGCTAAAACTCGTTCCTGATGCGCTTCGTACTCGTCTCGACTTGGATATATCTTGGATATCAACAAGTCGAAGTTTGGATCCGGTCTCAAGGAGCGCTTTGAAACTAATTTTTTCCTACACGTTGGGCACTCCTGTAAATAAATGAAAAATCATGTAACAAGAATATATAAGGGTGATAATATCAAAATTACTCTCCAAGAATAGGAATAAACATTAGTTGTATCGCCTCCGAAATTCAGGCTTCACATTATTGACTCCATTTTACGTTAATCAGATGATCCGTTTACCTCAAAGTAACAATAAAAACCCATCGAACCTTCTAACGATCCGAAATCCTCTTATAAACACTAAAATTGCTCGTCATTCAAGAGACGATTACGTTGTCTCTGTCATACCCAATGTAAATATATATCTCCAATAAAAGACATTTCTCTCCCTAAAACTCTTCATTTCTGTCTAAATTATAAATATCTCAGTTATAAACTCCCTAAATCCTCAACCGAACCCCCAATTAGCGATAAAAACAAACATTCAAGGTTATGTCTCTCCGATGCACCAAGAACGAATCCCTTCTGCTCCGATAACTATCAACCACCACTATATAACTTCTTAACCTTAAAATGCATGACAAGAAACAACAGAGTGTTCCGGTGGTCCAAAATCATTAAAAACTCAACCTATCATAACCAGTCGATACATTTATCAACGCCAGTGGCGCCATAAATGCGATAAATATCGCGGAAAAATATATTATCTGCATAAAAACAAACATTCAAGGTTATGTCTCTCCGATGCCCCAAACACAAATCCCTTCTGCTTCGATAACTATCAACTATCACTGTATCACCTCCTAACCTCAAAATACACCATGAAAGACCACTGAGAGTGCTCCGGTGATTCAAAATCATTAAAAACTTAACCTATCATAACCAATCGAGCCATTCATCAAAGACATCGGAGGCATCGAAAGCGTCAATTGTTGAAACCTGTTGTTTAACGGATGGATTAATCAAGGTAAGGTTAGGTTTATCATGCGATAAGAGTAGTTACAGAGGAAACTATAGAATAAACGCCACCTTGTTGCCGCTTCTTAGGGCAGTGATAATGCAGTCAGAGCAGAAGCGGTGTAGACACTCCTTCGTGGTCATTGTTTTCTTCAGCATGTCCAAGCAAATCGGACACATGAGCTCGCTGTGGAGGCTCCTAGGGCTGACGGCGATCTCCGTGTTGTCGGTGATCGCATCTTGGGGCGTCCTGTGTAACTCGTACAGCGATAATTCCCAGGTTTTGTTCAGGCCAACCTGCTCGGCCGACGCCATTATCGGCTGTGATCAGCCGCGACTCTCTGAACTTGGCCGAATATCGACGCGTGAAGTATGCGCGGTAGCGGCGACTGCAGTGCGCGCGGACGACGGCGGCGGCGAGGGGAACTAGTCGCGCTTCGACCGCGAAAGTTCGAATTTTGGAAACGCTCAGGGCGTTTATTAGGTTTTTTTTCACAAGAGCGCTCACGTGAGTTTATTCGCCGAATTACGTATTCGTTATATGAAAGAACGAGATCACTAGCACTTTCGGTCTAGTAATTTTGCAAATAAAGGTACATACCTTGTAAATCGAAAATTGTTGAGAGGTAGGGGGTTATAGGTAGGAAAGGTGGAAAGATGGAAAACTGTTAAAAGCAAAGAAGAGGACTCGAGTCTGTCTATATTTTTTAAATATGTATTACATTCATATTTACATGTATTATAATTAGAAGTTCTACGATGTAATTTTCTTATCGTGTCATGTAAGCATGAATTATTTAACAGTTTTTAATGTTTAATGATGCAATATAACCTCGCAATAACAAAAACTAACCTGTAGATAGTAGTAAATTCTCTTTCTTCTAACGAAAATGGGTCCGAGGCATCACGTAATTCCCTTCTTCTTTTAATGAGGTTATTATTACGTCCCCGACTACGATTGTTACCAAAAATCAAAACACCCACCCAGTGAACACTGTTATATAACTGTTGGGTAAATGTTACGTTTTTGAAACTAACATGTAATGTAGTATAAAAGTAACATGGAAGTTAGATGTTAGTTATTATTTCCCACTCGGTAAGGTAACATGTTATGTAACATGTTATATTAATGTTATAATTTTAGTTACCTTAAAATAATAGTAGTTTCATACATTTAATAAAAAAAAAAAAAAATAGCGCAATTTTATCAAAAATTATACCTCTTGCGCACAAGTTTTTTGAGTTTAGGAAATTTGGTACAGTTTCACACCAAAAATACATCATACTACATATACATTTACATACGTTGTTTGTATTAAAGCGCAGCTCAAAATTTTTCATCGAGCTTTTAACAGTATAAACCTAAAAATAATTAAAAATAATTACCTCTCGCGCACAAATTTCTCGTGTTTCAGGAAATTCGGTAGAGTTTCGCACCAAGAATATATTATATTACATATCCATTTACATACTTTGTATTAACGCGCAGCTCAAAATCTTTAATCGAGAGACATTCAACTTCACGTTGGGGACGAAAATTGCACGGTTTGAGGTTAGGTGCGTGGAAGTGCTTATTATGCAAGCGATCGCGTTAGGAGACGAAGATGACGGCGATTCCAGGTAGCGCTGGACTTGTGGATTGATCTTGAAGCGCTATTTATGGAACGTCTTCTGGGAAGTCCACGGCATATTGCGTCTGGTCGAGCTCCCCTGTCGTATAAGGACCATCTGCGGATGCAATTTGCTTTCGCCAAAACCTCTCTGGGGAAGAGGGAGAGAAGAACGACCCCTCGGGGAGGACACGTGCCGAAGAAATGTATCGGGTTCCCGGAACGGAAATTTCATTCTCCTATTCTGTGCCTCCACTTCCGAAAAACAAAATTCCAGGTTATGTTCGCAACCGTTCTTTCGGTTACTATACAATGCGGTGGGACAAAAATCGAAGAAATGACCGATGAAAAGATTTCTCGGTTGTCCATGTGAGACCCCGTTCTCCTTTATTAACGATTCTGCTTTCTATTTATTTTTTTTTAGGTTAGGTTCCTTCAGCGTTTCTCACGGTGCACGGAATAACCGGCGATTTTTAATGGCGTCCACTAGACGCAGTCGGTTACACTGGAAGTGATATAACGAATTTTGCTGATTACGATTAGGTAAATATTTATATCTGTCCTAAGAGGATACTGACCATTATACTACCGAGGAAATTATTAATAAATATGACGAACATTGTAATGTAATTAATTGGTAATATCACCTGGGTGCAGAAAAAGACTTTATATTATTAGAGATCCCATTCTAATTGTAAGTAATTCAGAGTCATGCCACTTGATAATAAGATCCGTGCATGTTTAGCCAACATTTCAGGAGATTGAAAAATTGCACTTTACGTAATTCAGGAGAATTACTTACATTGCTAGAACCTGATCTTCAATCTCGAATCTTGGAACTGTTTCTGCTCCCAATATTTGCTTTCTGAGTGCAGCTGGATTTTTTTAAGAATCCTGTTAAGGTGAAGTGAAACCCCCTTCCAATCAGTCGATTCGAATACAACACTTTTTTTTAAGGGTATTAGACCAAACTGTCCGAAACTTTGACACATCACTCCTGGCCATCCAAAAATTGTCCTGACACGTTCAAAGTTTGGATTTTTTGAAAAAATTGTTTAACTCAGCCCAGACCAGAACCAAAATGGCGTCGAGCTCTCATATTTCGATCAATATACAATTATCGAAGGTTCTGATATGAGAAACGAAAGGGTCAGGACAATTTGACGACAATTTAGAACACTCTGATAATCGATAAACTCGCATTTGAACGGGATAAAGGCAAAAAAAGTGTTGTATGCGCTTCTATGCCAAAACGATGGGAATACGAGGTCTCGGAGTGAACATTTAATTGACCTGGAAATCACAGATGGCGCAAGGGGTCCCTCTGCAGTCAATTAGGGCCCCAGAAAGCACGAATCCAGATGATTTCTGGAGTTTTACTTGGATTTCTTGATATTTATTGTACGAAAACGACAGGTGGAGTATGCCATTTGGTACAATACCCAATATAATTCGACCCAGCTGTCGATATAAAAACCAACGTCGGCAACGTAAGCATTTAGATAAATCTTCTTTATCGACGTCGATCAAGTTCCTCGACGTGTTTCACTTCACCTTAATGTTCTCCAGCGCGAGTCGGGGACCAAGATGGCGGTCCTCGTTCGCGGAAACTCAACGAGGCAGACAATGCCTGGGGTAGTGCACCGACGACCTACGCGAGCACTTAGTTAAGATTACGGTGTGCTACCCCGTGTCATTAGCGTTACTAATGCAATCTACTACTCCCAACGTCTGCCTATCTTTCAATTATACTTACGCAGGTGGTCATTACGAGTGGCGGTGCTTCCAGTCGCGCCATTATCATTTGTCTGCGTGTTATCGTACGTTCCCGCGGAACGTGGCCAACTACGTAATGCTCGCATATTATACGCTCACGGGCACGCGAAAATTCCCCATGCAACGTCAATCACGAAATCGCCTTTCAGAGAACGTTTGAAAATTAATACGAAGTCTTTCGAACGTTTCAGTAACGTTCAAACAATGTAGATTTCTTTAAGGTGATATGAAAGAGTCATTCTGTGTATCTCGTAACGCTAAAATATTTTTAAACTTTACTGCAAATTGGGTGCACCGAATTATTTAGAATCTCAACATTTAATTATAAAGGTTTTAATTAAGGTCGTGAATCTCACGAAATTTCATTTTTTAAATAAAAACATGGTCTGATTCTTAATGAAAATTCCCCATGCAACGTCAATCACGAAATCGCCTTTCAGGGAACGTTTAAAAATTAATACGAAGTCTTTCGAACGTTTCAGTAACGTTCAAACAATGTAGATTTCTTTAAGGTGATATGAAAGAGTCATTCTGTGTATCTCGTAACGCTAAAATATTTTTAAACTTTACTGCAAATTGGGTGCACCGAATTATTTAGAATCTCAACATTTAATTATAAAGGTTTTAATTAAGGTCGTGAATCTCACGAAATTTCATTTTTTAAATAAAAACATGGTCTGATTAATGTCGATAATTTTCAATGCAATATCAATCATGAAATCGCCTTTTCAGGGAACGTTTGAAAATTAATACGAAGTCTTTCGAACGTTTCAGTAACGTTCAAACAATGTAGATTTCATTAAGGTGATATGAAAGGGTCATTCTATGTTTCTCGAAACGTTAAAATATTTTTAAACTTTACTCCAAATTGGGTACACATAATAATTTCAAACCTCAACACTTAATTATGAAGGTTTTAATGAAGGTCTTGAATCTCACGAAATTTCATATTTTGTATCAATTTCAAACGAACGTCGGCAACGTAGGCATTTAGAAAAATCTTCTTTATCGACGTCGATCAAGTTCACTTCACCTTAAGGATCAGATTTTCGGAACAAATCGCAATATTGTCCCGTTCGATCGGGAAGCGACGAGTGGCTCCTCTCGCGACCATTTTCTGCGGTTTCTTTCGGCCGAACGAGAGAAGAAGAAAGGACTGGATGCGGTCGAGGAGATCGCAGGAAACGGGAAAGGACCTCCTACGGTTTCCACGTAAACAATTAGAGTATTTAGTCACTGTGCTGTCCGGCGAACGAGCTCTCCCCCTTTCCGCACATCGCGACAATTCACGGTCCCCAAGATTCGCCAACAATGGCCAGGAAACGGTTTTCTTAAGGTGATATGAAAGTGTGATACATAAGAAAAAGCGAAAATATTTATAAAACTTTTCTCCAACTGGGCGCACCGAATTATCCGAAACATTAACACGTGATTATGGAGGCCCTAAGGAATAACGCCCTTGTAAATTGAGAGGCAGGAAAGGCGGGAAGATGGAAAGCCGTTAAAAGTAAAGAAGAGGCCTCGAGTCTATCTATATCTTTTAAATACGTATGACATTCATATTTACATGTACTATAATTAGAAGTTCAACGATATAATTTTCTTATCGTGTCATGTAAGCATGAATTATTTAACAGTTTCCAATGTTTAATAATGTAATATAACCTCGCAATAACAAAAACTAACCTGTATATCCTAGTAAATTCTCTTTCTCCTAACGAAAATGGGTCCGAGGCATCACGTAATTCCCTTCTTCTTCTAATAAGGTTATCATTACGTCCCCGAATACGATCGTTGGCAAAAATCAAAACACCCAGGAGGTTTTCCATTTTGAATTTCGGTGTCACGATCCGTGGAAGATGGCGATCACGGCGCTTATTTTTCTATCTTTTCTTGTATGCTTCCCCATTTCGCTTAAAAATTTGTGCC